ACTCTTAACTTTTATAAAGAATATCTCTTTGGATTTGAGACTTTAGTCGTTGCAACTTTACAGATCTTCTTTATGCACCAAGGGCTTGTAACACTCCAAAGAGAAAGGAAAAATTTAAATCGCATCATATGACCCCTTTAAGACTGCACCAGAAAGCCAGCTCCTTAACCTCCTGTCTGTAAGCAGACTCGTCTCCGTCCTTGATGAGGCCGATGACTGTAGTGTTGTCTGCAAACTTCAGGAGCTTGACAGAGGGAGAAGAGAAGTGGGGAGAGAACGCATCCCTGGGGGGCGCCAGTACTGATAGTGAGGGTCCTGGATGTGAGTTTCCCCAACCTCACTAGCTGCTGCCTGTCTGTCAGGAAGCTTGTGATCCACTGACAGATGGAGGTGGTAAACCTATAATGAAACCTATATAAATCTATTTATTAACTGAAAAAAATGAGTTGTTGTAGAAACAGTTCTCACTGAGAAATTGCTAGTAAATTTCACAAAGAAAACAGCAAGTAACATTATATGCATTATATGAGAAATTTTGAGATAGAAAAACTAAAATAGTATTTCCCTGTAAAATGTACTCCAATAATCTATCTATATAGATAGATTTTGTCTTCCTGTTTTGACAAGCATATATATATATATATATATATAATAAAAAAAAGGCAGATGAGATGCTGCAGTATTTTCTGTCTCTCTTGTCTGTGCAGACGGTGTCAGTAAGTTAAATCAGGAGTTTACGCTGCAGTGTTTGCTGAGGCTTTGTGTTTGCATGAGATATGGGAGCTGTCTTTGTGACTGCTCAATGCTCCATTTCTGCTGATTAGAATGTTAAACACAGCCATTGTTTCGTGCAGTCGCTGCACATAACTCAGAGTATCAAAGGTGCCTTCTAACAGGCATTGCCATAGAGACGGCTGAAGCTCGCGGTAAAAGTGGAAAGGGTCTCTGTTATGCGTGTGTTTTGGTTGATGGAAGAATGGGTTTACTATGGCAACAGACAGAAAAGGTGGAGGTGATGTATTAACCGATGATAACAGCACACACTCGAACGATGTTCTGATCTGCCTGCGGTGTGCTCTTAAACTACACTGCATGCATTAATCTTTCGTTTCTTTCTTTTAATTTGGAATAAAAAATCTGTTTTGTCAGGTAAACTAAAAATGTGATGCGTGTGGGTAACATCTGAATTAAAAAATTAATATTTTCTAATTCTGTTAATTACAATTTCTGTTGACCTTTTACATTTATGCAGTTTCATTAATTGTCAATTTCCTAAAAGCTAATATTTTTTTAAAGTTAACATTTTAATAGCTGGTATTTTTTTTTTGTAAATTTAGTTTAATTTTTAGTAATTTTATTATGTGTGTTTGTATGTGTTTTTTCAGGATAACTTGATAACTTGAAATTTTATTATCTTTTTCACACAATTCAGAAGAGATGAATTATAGAAACCAAGTCGTATGGACTACTTTTATGGTGTGTTTTTGTCATTTTTGTAACACTATGTAATGATATGAATGGTAACTTGTATAGAAAAGATCTGCTTTAAAAATTACCTTTAATTTAAATTTAATTTAATTTAATAATTACCTTTATAACAAAAAATAATGACACAATTTTCATTTTGGAATTAACTATTCTTTTAAGAGTTGGCTTAAAAGAATTTTAGTGGTTACATCGTTCAAATTCATGCATCATATAATGTTTCATTGTGACACGTGTCTTAACTCGTTATTGTTTTTTTCATTATCAGTGATATGATCCCCATTATATAAGTTGGCAGTTGTCCAATTCCTGTTGCTCATTTCCAACTTGGATGTGCTTAGATATTGTTCTACGATCCCTAGAGTCCAATAGAAATAAATAATTGCTCTTACAGAGCCAGGTTGGGGGGTAAATATTCATGCCTTGATTACAGAATGCATTGCCCTTTGGGTTTCCATGGATCAAACTTTAATTTCAACTAGCTGGATCAACAACAGCAATGGAGAAACCACCTGGGACACCACAAAACAAATTAACTTCAACCTTTAGTGTAAACTTCATGTCATGCTCTATTAATTTCTCCCGCTTTAAGGGCAATGTCATGAATAATGTATTAGCTCTCAGCACACAGACTCCATAGAGCCTTTCCACTGTCTGTTGGGAAGGATTATGGACAAATCAAACGCTGAGAATTCCAGCACTATGTGTCATTGAGTCCCAAGTGATTGATGTTCCTGCTGCAAAACATTCTGAAATTAAAGGAAGTGACAACATTGTCCTGCCCATCTCTTATAGCAGAGACAGGAGAGAGTCTGTCATATCTGCCCAAAGGAAACTTCATATTCTCCCAATCTGATTGGCACGTTATGTAAAATTCCTCTTGCAGCTCTTACAACAAGCTGCTGCTGCCAGTTTGAGGAAGGACACATTTCCTTCTCTGGCTTACTTCCAAGAGGAGAGAGTAAAACCTCATCACGAGTAGCGACTGTAACACTGAGTGCTGGGAGCGCAGATTAATGCAGCGTTGATTAATTTGTGGTTTACGGAAAGACTTCAGAGCTGCGTGAGCTTCATAGTTTCCCTCAGGCTCGGGCGCTACAAAAACACACCTTTCAACAGCAACATAAAAAACTTCCTCTTTCATTTAAAAAAGTGGAGACTGAGACTATTTGCGTTCACATTTTTTAATGTAATGCATTTTTGTAGAGAGGTGATTTTTGAGAGTCAGTTTCGTACCTTGAAGTTGGACTATAAAAAGCTATTTTCCCCGTAATAAAAAGCTGTAATTTGCACTATTATAAACTGTTCAGTTATAGTTCATTATATAGTATGAACTATATATAGTATACTATATATTATATGTAGTTCACTATAAAGGGGTATGTTGTCACATTATATAGAGTAAGTTGTCAAAATGTGAACACACACATGTAGGCCTATATGAAATATTTTTTTATAAAAGTAATAAAAATGACAAAAGCACAAAACATAATTACTAAAACTTTAGATAAAATTAATGCTAATGCCAAATATGAATAAACACTAAAACATTATATAAATAATACTGAAATTGCACTGCATTTTATGATGTCAGTTTCTAAAATTAATTTAATTTCAATTTATGTCGGTCAAAACTATGGTTAATGGCATAAAAAAGAATAAATAAATGTTTAATAGCCTATATTGCATTTTTTAACACTTGTAATGAAGAGTTATATTAATTTATTTTTATTTGAGTTTTAGTTTTAGTCATTTTAGTACTTCAACTAACATTTGGTTATTTGAGATTTTCTTTTCTTTAAGTTTTTCATCTAATATTTTTATTTTTATTTTATTTCAGCTTTATTTCAATTAATAAAAATGATTTTTAATAGTTTAACAATAACAGCAATGTTGTATTGCAATGTATACTTCACAAACGTTCATATTTATATTTATATTATTATTCTGATAATGATATTATATGCCTTTGTGACAACTAGCCCCAGTATTCCCTATATATTATGATTTGAGAAAGAACTGCTCATTGGAAATCTAGAGAGAATATGTATGTGATTTTAGACTGTGCAGAGCTAATGTTTTAAAGTGTGTTATCTACTAGTGGATGTGATAGAATGGAATGCGTAATATGTATCTTTTCAAATAATAAACATCTTTTCATTAAAAAAAATCCATTAATGGTTACAGTGTTATGGTCCCATGGTAGTTAGAGCTGAAAATGGAAGTGAGCCAAAATGACTGGTAATCATCAACATGAAGAGTAGACATCAGAGGCATTTAGCTTCAGCAGAGCAAAACACACCACCCTATCATTACCCAACAGACACCATAAAGATATTACTCCAAAAAGACCTCTAATTCACTGCTGTTCCACCAGCCAAGTGTAAACGCATATGCTTATTAGAGAAATGAAGTCAAGGTCTATTTTTAGAGTATGGTGCGTGTTTAAGTCAAAAAACACACAACTGTTCAGCGCTGTGCTGGGTGTTGGAGCGCACTGGCAGACTGTGAATCTATATAAAGCTGTCTAAGCGTATTCCTGTGTGGCGTTTGAAATGTGAGGCTATTAGTCGAGCGCCACATCTTGTGATTAAAATGACCTACTACTGTTAAAGGATGGTGAGAGAGCAGCGCTGCTGGACTACAGGGCACAATCACTGACAGTTCACACATCATTAACTCGGTCTAATGTCAGAAAACCCTGCCGAGAGGCCTTCACATGTGCTGTCATTTAAAAACAGCCAGTGTAGGCACTTAGTATAAAGCTAACACTGCTTTTAAATGACTATTTTTATAAAATTATTAAGCTTGTGGCATGTTGAATACAAAGCAAAATGATTTGGACTTGTATTTCATTTAGTCAAAAACAAGCAAAAATTTACCATAATGCACTTGCAGTGCAAGTCTATGAAGCAAAACATTGCAATAGAAGAGACTTTAAAATGTTTCAAAAATATAGTAACTTTTTTTCATGCTAAAATGTGATAAAATCACTAACTTTTTTTTATGCCTGTCAAGCCGCTAAAGTAACTCATAACCAGAAGTTCATCCACCTAGAACAGTAGTTCCACCACTAAAAGGATGATTTTGACTTTAAAGCTCGAATTATGCTTATTTTTGTACAGAGGAATTAATATAAGTGCTTTCACAAAATACTAGCAATGCATTTCTGCTTTTAGACCCTCTGAAATGTCCTGCCCCATAGACTTACATTTTAAGTTTGTTCTTATATAAAAAATGTTGTTGTTTTGTTTTGGTTTCTTTACAAGTCGAAATGATTATGTGGTTATCGCCAGCATGCCATTTAGTACCCAAACATTTATTTTAATATAACAATTATTTATATTTATAGGTACACTACTGTTCAAAAGTTTGGGGTCTGGACTTTTTATTATTTTTGCAAGAAGACTTTTATGCTCGCCAAGGCTGCATTTATTGTGAAATAATATTACAACTTCAAATAACTGTTTTCTATTTGAATATATCTTAAAATACAATTTATTTCTGTGATGCAAAGCTGAATTTTCAGCAGCCATTACTCCAGTCTTCAGTGTCACACGATCCTTTAGATATCATTCCAATATGTTCAAAAGAACAGCATTTATTTAAAATAGAAATTTTGTGTGACATTATAAATGTCATTATTGTCCTTTTTGATTAATTTGATGTGTATAAAGGTATTTATTTTTAAATAAGTAAATATCTTGCTTACCTGAAACTTTTGCTCGATAAAGATATTAATTTTTTATAATAAACAAAACAAAACAAAAAACCTTTGAATGGTTTCTGGTTAACGCACACCTGACTCTAAATCAGTTTGAGTAGTAGTAGTGAGGGTTGATTGGCTGTTGATCTCCAGTTCCTCTTTGACGTGGCCCTTTTCCTGCCTCATTCAGACTAATGTGGTGATCATTATTAGCAGCTGTGCTGGGGGAATATAAAGCCTGGATGTTTGTGTTGTTATTTGCTGTCAGGCTGTTTGCGATAGAGTAAAGCAATAATCCCCAAGAAGCTGTTATAAATTCACTGTAAACCGCGGCTTCACGGGGCTTATTGCTTTTATAAAACGGTTATTCCATATACGTAGTAAGGTTTCACAAAATAAAACAGAGCAAATAAAGTGTAATGATATTAATAAAAACATTATTCTTCCGCTAAACAATGTAGTTCCTCAGAAGCGGTTGTGGTTCCAACAAAGTGGTTGCCGAGCAACACACAAATGTAAACAACTTGGCTCAACCAATCAGAATCAAGGACCGGAACTATCCGTTTTATAATTAACTGTAATTTCTCTTTTTAATTTATTATCTTCTCCTCTCTGCAGTAATACAATTTTACCACTTTGTTTATGTCCTCTTCTTCTAATTTGGTTTTATTCTCTTGATTTTTATTTATTGGAGTCCTGTTTCACTACTCAGTTGGTGTTATGATTCACAAAATCTGAGAATTTTTTGTTTTCTTTAATCTTCTCGTGTTGTGTCCCATCTGGGTCGTAACAATCCGACTTCTACGTCTCAATGAAAAGGAACTCATTAGAAAGGCATTTGATTTTTGACAGCCCAATATGCACTCAAAAAAGCAAGCAATGTGGCAGATTAACTTTTTATTCCCCAATGACAAATCTTCCCCTCTGAGTGTCACACTGAAGGGCCGGCTGCCGCTGACCTTTAAAAGTGTGACGATTCTCTATGCATTTAAAAAGCTCTCAGACAGTGTGGAAAAGCAATTCTGTCTAATCACCTGCTTTAGTGACAGCTCGTGATAGAGACTGGCAGGCACATCCAGAATATGCCCCCCTCGGCAGAAATCGCATTCCGCGGGGGCCCCCCTGGACCACAGGGCCCCATGCAATTGCGTGGTTTGCGTTATGTCAAGTCAAGTCAAGTCACCTTTATTTATGTAGCGCTTTTAACAATACAGATTGTGTCAAAGCAACTTTACAGTATTAAATAGGCAAATAGTGTGTCAATAATGCAAAATGACAATAGTAAACACTCGTACACTCGACAATAGTAAACAATAGTAATGCCTAAACATGCTACTGTGTGCATGGCATGTTTGGAAAATCTTATACTATTCCTGCGGTATGCTGGGCATCCACTGCAAATGTTTCAATAGCCATTGGCTCTTACAACCCCAAAACTATACAACCTAGATTCTGCCATCTTTGCTTTATGGGCTCTCCACCCGCTATAAGAACATCTCTAGAGTAGATGAGAAAAAAACACAAGTGTATTTCATGTTTCAAGGCAAGACACTAGTTTTGGGCTTTTTTGCTTCCATAACATGTCTTTTCTTAAGTCTAGTGTAAAGAAAACTATTTATATTTGGATATTTATATTTACCTCTGTCTATATTTGTGTCTGTAGATTTCAAATACAATTTTTTTAAAGGCTGTTTTCTTAAAACTATTTTTTTTCTCCTGCACTGAACCAGAAATTTCCGCTTCAGTAGGACTTACAGTAGCACTCTTATAGTTTTATTCCTATCTATATTCTGAAGTTTTTTTTACACAGGAGTTTGTTCATATATACCTGTTTTTATACATTTTATTCCTAAAACATGGTGCAAATGTATTTTTTAATGGCTGTTGACAGTATTTTCTGATTTATGGAGCAATAAATAGAGAGATCCAAAATCCCTTCTGTAAAACCCTCTGAATCAAGTCAAGTCACCTTTGTTTAAATAACGCTTCATACAATACATATTGCGTCAAAGCAGCTTTACAGTGTTAAACAGGAAAATAGTGTGTTTATTTTTTTTATCAGTTCATCGATTCAGTGTTGTCATCATCCAGCTCCATTCAGTTAAAATTGTATCTATGCAATCAAGTTGACAGTATTGCCAGAAATAAAGTGTCCCCAACTAAGCAAGCCAAAGGCGACAGTGGAAAGGAAGCATAAATCCATTGGTGAGAGAAATGGAGAAAAAAGTCATCATTAGTCATCAAAAGGTCATCAAGAATCATTCGACTGTGGAGGTACAGTTATATATATTTTTTACCCTATTCACCTGGGGTGTGTTGCTTAAAGAGCTCTCCAAAAATAACTGCAATCATCTTCTATAATATGCTAATACAATACAAGGCTTGAATGACTGTGTAGTGAGTAAGCCAAAAGCAATATCAACTGTGATTTTTACCAGCATTTATGCAATCAGACTGTCAAATGTAAATACATTTTTGCACAAAATTTCATCAAAATACTAAATAACTCTTTTTTTTCTGATTAATTAAACATGCATGTGTCAACAATTTTAGCAAACTGCTATCTGCTGCATAGTTTACTACTTCACATACTGCTACTATTAAAAAATGCTAGTATTGTATTCTGAACACAGTACAAGGGTTTTGTTTAAAAGGTTCTTGATGAAATAACACCTTCACATCCTTGGAAATCATGGAAGGCAGCATCTTTATTGAACGTAGTTCCTTTTTGTTGCAACCCTTAAATCAATCCCCCGCAGGCGTCATCTTTATATCAGGAGATTATTTGCTGTTCAGTCAAAGTAATCACCACCGCAGGTACAGATATAGATAAAAACACTTTTAGCTTGCAGCACTCCATATGGCAACATAAATTATTAACAGCACACACACACATGTACTCTTGACAAAAGCACAGCATTAGATCCGTGTTATTACTTGCAGGTTGTGTGAGTGTTGATGTAGATATGACATATTAGTACCTGGTGGCTAATCAAAAAATACTGAACTAAATTTAGTCACATTTCAAGCTGCCATGAAAGGAAAAATCAACTCAAATAAGATGAATTCCAAGATGACAAATATTTGGATTCTGTTTCATAGGTTTGCCAATTTAACAGGTATTTTATGAGTTTAAATTATTAAAAAAGTGATTTTTATTACTTTAAAATGAATATATACATTTTTAAACATTAAAATAATTTTTTATTTATTTACTGAAGTAGACGAATGAGACAATACAGTAAGAGTATGGAGCTATAAAATATATGTGGATTGTAAATTTCACATCATTTGGTAGAAAAATTATGAATATTAGAAATATACAGTAAATTAGCTCATATTGAGATTGTGGCAAAGCTGAGCACAGTTTGAGACATTGTTGAGGTCTCTTCTGAAGCTCAATGAGAGATGACTGAGATCTTTTTCTCGGGAGAAGAGACCTCAAGTTTCTTTCCATTGAATTCCATGGCTAGAAACAACTGAGATATTAAGGCGATCTCACTCATGATTTTCCTTACAGGTTTACGACGACAAGGGCTGCATCTGAAATCACATATTACCTCCCATGAGACCACAAAGGAGGATTTGTGAAAAGCAGTGAAGCAACGCAGCTGAAATTGGTAGGTCACATGACAATAACACCATGATGAATCCGGATTTCATTTATACTATACAGAACATACTTTTTTAATGTTTGCGAAGTAATAACTTATTCAAAGAGGGCAACAGTTCAAAGAAGAAGTGTGCTGGGTGTGTGGGGTCCAGAGTGATTTTATCAGCCCTTTTCCTCACTCTGGAGGTGTAAAGTTCTTGGCACAGGGGCACCAATATGTCCTGATGATTCTCCTGAAGTTCACAATCATCTCCACTGTTTTGAGCGTGTTGAGCTCCAGGTTGTTGTGACTGCACCAGACAGCCAGCTGCTCGACCTCTTGTCTGTAAGCAGACTCCTCACCGTCCTGGATGAGGCCGATGGCTATGGTGTCGCCCGCAAACTTCAGGAGCCTGACAGAGGGGTGTTTAGAGGTGCAGTCATTTGTGTACAGGCCCTGAATGTGCATACCATCCTCTGAGATTGTGTGCTGAGATTTATGAGAATCACAGATGTGCAGTAGACTAAAGCAAATGCAGTGTACTCAAATTAATGGCCATTTAGTTACTTGGCAACACAAGACAAAGAAACATACAGCAAATATGAATTTACATATGTGTCAGCTATTAAAGGGCAACTATAACTGTAAAGTAATGGCTTCTCTACATAATGATGCAATTATATTTCACCTGTCATAATTCATCTTATTGAACACAGTTGCCAGCAGGAAACAGTATTATCATTCACAAATGAAAAACTTGTGGCAGAAGCTATGAATAGAAGTGGCAAATATTCATATATTACAACTATCAGATTACAGCCTCATATTGCATACACGGTAATAATGACATTTCCATAATATATATATATATATAATTTGATATTGTGGTCACGTAAAGCTGAAACTTAGTGTCAGCCAAATTTCACAGGCGAATATTTGACCCCGGGTGACTATACCAGCAAATGCTAAGTTAATTGTGTTTAACTCTCTGACGACAAACAGTATTGGAATATAAATTTAGCTTTTTGTCCTCGAAGTGACAGTCTTGGCTGTCAATGCCGGATTAAATTCTCTCAGATAATTATATGGCAAAAAAATAACCTGAGATGCGGGGTTGGCATGGTAACATTAACCGCAATTCATTGCTATACATGAAATTGGACTGGTTTTATCACATTAAATACCTGTAATTTAAAATCTTCGAATAACACATTCCAGCGCTCAAAGTTAAAATGCAGGCATGTTTAAATTTTTTCTTTTTAAAGGGGTCATACTAAGTATAAGTTTAGCTCAGATATATTTTCATTCGCCGAACACTCACTCTCTCTGACTGAGTGCATCAGAGTTTCACTCTCCGCCAACTCTCCGCCAAGCGATCTGTGCTGTTTTTCAGTTCATCTGAATGGATGTGCAACGCACCTGTATTTAACGTCCCGTAAACTCTACTGTGAAGGCACACGACTCGCCGTCGCTTTGTTTCACACACACAGAGAGAGCAGCTCACCTCGCTTTTTCAGACCGATGAGTTTTGTAAAAATCGACGCGTTTCAGAAAGGCGGGGCATAGAGGAGAAACAATAATGTACAGTATGTGGAAAATAATGTGTTTTTTGAACCTTAAACCGCATAAAAACATTTCATTACACCAAATACACAAAATAATGTTCTTTTTAGCAGCATCCTAATGCATCCAGCATATGACCCCTTTAATATAGTATGTACGTGTTGATATTCATTAAGGCTTCTGTTTTGAGTAAAAGGTAACCTCTGAGGCGTTTGTGGTAAATTTGTTTGTACTTACATATTGTAGGCTATTAAAGTTGTCCTGTTTTCAGACAGACAGACAGACAGACAGACAGACAGATAGATAGAGAGACAGACAGACAGACAGATAGATAGATAGATAGATAGATAGATAGACAGATATATAGATACTCACATTTTATGGTTTTTCAATGAAATAACTTCATTTTTCTTATCAGTTACTGTATGTACATTAGGAATTTTGTGATGAACTCCTTTGGCTTTTGCTTTACCACCTGTGTTTTTAAGGTGGTTGTCACAGCACATTATAAAGGTAAAAAGAAAAAGAAAAAACAGCCAAAACAGATTTTAGTAATAAACAATACAATTCTTCTTTACCTTAAATTTCACTGATTCACTGGGCATATTGCAGTGATGCTCTAAAAAAATTTTTTTCAAAGAATCCCTCAGAAAGCACTTTATCCTTGTCAGTGTGTAGTATGACTGGTTCAGAATGTCCTCTGAAACCATTTGTGATGCACAGATACTCTCCGTTACTCTATTTTGTGACATTACTGTACTGATGTCGTCATCCTCTTGTGTACAGCCTATTCAATACAGACTCTACAGCAACGCACTTAACAGACAAACAGTTGCCTGATTACAAGGACAAAATAGCTGCCCCTTTAAAAGCTGTTTGAAAGAGCTGATTATTTTATCTAAAGACAAAACTGCTGAAAAAAATCTGAGATGATTCATGTAGGCAGGTATTTCAGTCCATTGCTCGTGATGGATGTGATGTGAGGTTTGTGTTCAAATGCGCCTGAACGAGGCTGCGGTGAGTCTGTTAATTCAGCAAACACACTCCATCTAGGGAGAGATATTTTGAGAATTTCAATCAGCAAGGTCGTACCTTCATTTACTGTAATGAGTGATTTTCCACCCATCTGTGAGAGGCCAGCACTGTGTGGGTTAATTAGCTGGATCCATCATGGCTAATGAATTGGAAAAGTGAAACACATTGACCCAAAATCTGTAGCATTGAATTTCATCCAACGAGTCATGGAGAAATTGCTTATCAAATCTAATGCATAATTAAAGTACATGTTTTGCACCAAAATGCAGCAGATCTCATTCAATAATTAATGGAGACTTTCTGGCAAGCGATAAGATAATTCCCAACCTCTCTGGAGGATGTTATAAGACAGTGGGTTTAACAACACTCCAGATGTGGTTTTGATATAGACACGTCTTAATTTGTCTTAACAAGCTTGAGATTTAATACTTTTCTGCCCCTTGGCAACGATCTAAGTAAAAGATTGTTTTCTAAGATTAAGTCAGTGAAATTGATCAGATTGTTATGGAACCACAGCAATACAGTTTGGGAATATTGTCTTTGACAATATGCTTTGTTTCAACTCTCAATGCTTGCATTCTGCAGTGCATGTAAAATGCATCATGACTCTCCTGCCAACAAGATTTGGGTTCTTGTTGCTACAAAATGACTATTCTTCACTGGAAGAATGAGATATACTTCACAGCTCTCACATACACATTGATTTGAATGTTGCAATTGCAATAAGAGTCCACAAAGTCATGCTATCCAAGTAATCATCTCCAAATCAACATGTAATGCATGTTCTTTAGACACAGTTCTTCAATTTTTAATGGTATTAAATTTTGAAAATGGGAGATTGGGAGGCAAGTTTAAGAAAATAATAGATGGGATATATGAAGAAAACAAATGCATAAGGAAAAAAATAATCAATGGCTATAGGAAGAATTTACAGGTGTAGTTACAGGCTTTCACAGCCATTGAGCTGAAATTAGTATGAAAAGTGTTTTAGCATGCATTATAGAATCAGAA